AGTACTTCAATTTTATAGTTTCTTTCTACCACAACACTATGCCTTGTAAAATCTGAATATTGTATATTGCTCTCTGCCTGATGATAAATAATATAACAAGGTTTAATTAAACAGTTTATCCAAGTTGTTTAAGGGCCTTTGTCTGCTTATTATTTATCACACTGACTAAACCTCGAACTGCATGACAGCAGTCAGTCTTTTGCACCACTTACTACTCTTAGAAATGTAGTCAGTAAATGCAACCTGATGGCAGATAATAGGCTCAGTGTTTAATTAATCAGTTGGTGTATAGTGGTCATGCTGAGGTTGAGTACAATTCTGATGAGTGCTGTTGTTTTCCAGGTGAAGTCTCAACAGGCAGAAGTGATACGAATCCTTGACAGTAAAAGCATCCAGTACGAGCTCGTCGACATCTCTGTGGGCGGGGAGCTTCGTGATGAAATGAGAAGCAAAGCGGGGAACCCCACAGCAGTCCCTCCCCAGCTTTTCAATGAAGACCAATACTGTGGGGTGAGGAGAGCACATACACTTGCAACATTATTTAAAAAAACAACAACTCTCCAGCAGTGCAGTCATAAAATCTGCTACTGTATGTTTTTAACTGGAACTTAAAGCTGCAGTAGGTAATTTATACAAAATACTTTGTGTCATATTGGCTTAAACTTTCAACTGTATCCTGACGTAATCATGAGGAAAGGTAATCTGTGAAAAAATTAGGTTCCTCTGGCTCGTCTTTAGTGCTCCTAATGGAATTAGCAAGAATCCACCAGGCCTGAGTGAAAACAACCAATCAGAGCCAAGAAAGATAGATAATTGATTGAGTCTCATTTCCAGGTCATCAAATACTGACTCTTTGGGTCCCAAAGCGCCACTAGGAGCACTTGGAGGAGACAGAGTTTTTTTTTTTCTGTGCTATTTCTTAGAATATAGTAAAAGTTTCAGCAAATATGACTTTAAGTTGCCGGTATATTCGTATCAACTTAAATGACAGCTGCAATAAGAAATATATTTTAGAAATGCTTGGACACTAAAAAATATCCACCAAACATCTGTATTTTTAATATCAAACACTACCTGTAGGCGTGAAAAGTGGGATTTTCACAGTGAACAGTATGAAGACATTCATTGAAATATGTCAAACCACTCTGCACACTGCAGCTTTAGTTACTTTTTCTCTCTTCATATGCTTGTATGTCCAAATGCGAGACTTTCATCCAATATTATTGTTTAAAAACACACAGCCGTTGCTAGCATACTGGTTAATGTTTACATATGTTTCTTACATTTGTCATTTGCTAGTCTGCATATTCACCTTGGTTAAAGGCTACAGAAGTGAACAGCTAACTATGCTAGCAACAAATGGAGCCAGATATTTCCCTCCGGAGGTGACCAAAAACAGAGCTAAAAGAGAGTTAATATATTGGACTTACTCCAAATGAATGCTAATGTTGCTCCATAACTGATGAAAGTGTAAATAAGCAACTGTGTGCTAACAAGTTTGCCATATCAACTTAAAAGATGATAATGTTGGTGTTTTGATACAACTTGTTTCTGCTGACCTCAAGTGACCAACAAAAATCCTAGTGTTGACGCTACATATACCGGTCATCATCAGTGTGCCCAATCAGCATAGGTCATGATTTTGTCTGTTTTTGCAAAAAGACCTTTTTTACAGCAGCCATTTTGACATGAAATAGTAGGGTAAACACAGGTATAATCAATGATACTAATTAAGCTTCCATTCAGGTCAGACACAGTCAGGGGTGCTGCTATTGTGCATGTTTGTCACTGGAAAGGCTCTGCTACACTAAATGGAATAGAGCCTTAATTACTATCATTGGTAACACCTGTGTTTACCCTACTACGTCATGTCAGTGGCTGCTGTGAAAAAGGTTTATTCGGAGACAGGTGTCTGATTTCTGTTTTCTTGTTTGCTGACTGACATTCTTGCTTTCCACAGAACTATGAAATGTTTTCTGAGGCGGTGGAAGCAGATACAGTGGAACAATTTCTGAAACTGGCGTGAGAAGGGCAGAGTGTAGTGGTCCATCTTAACCCCATTCCCCCAAACACCTACCCACCCACCCTGCGCCCTAACGGAGGCCCTTTACCCAGTCTCTCTCTGCACCACCGACAGTGTCCACTCACTTTCAATGCCATAATGAAGAATGCCAAATATCTCGTATTCAACTAATCAGAAGACACACATTCCCCCTACTGCACCATTTGACTCTTTATCAGTCTTAATCTGTTTTGTTTTTATGTGTTTTTTTTCTGTTCTTTCTTTTGATTTCTCTCAGACGTTTCCCCGTCTGACAGACTAGTGTTACTGAGTCCTCCTAGTCCACTAGGAATCAATAGGGTGTCTAAATGTGCTGTAATTAGGTCGACTAATCTTGGCTGCAGCCACATGATCGCTGGAGATTAAACTAATCCACTGGATGACAACATTCAACCCAGAATCTTCCTGATCCTCTGCAGACCAAACACACCATCATCACTCAGTCTTAACTACTTTGTTGTCTTTTTCTGTAGCCTTCAAGTTCCCATGTTTTACATGACTGCACACTCTTTGTACTTCACATGGATGCAAATGCACACGGAAGTAGCAGGACTGTAATGTCCTTAAATCTAATTAATTAAGAATTATAGCAGCTAAAGGACGCCAGAAAACCTTTTGTAATTGTGGTCCATTGGTCACCTTATGCAAGCTACGACAAGAGGGTTGATTCTGAAATGGGAAACCACTAGAGTCCAACGCTATTCCGACCTGCTTTGAGGGGAGTGACGATGACACCAGAGTGGCAAGAAAGTGTGTTTTTGGACAGATATTGAAAATACTTTCATGAAACTAGTACTACACATTAAATTACCCTGTGGCATTTTTGTTTGTTAACAAACAAAAGTTATGTTTACATTCTCAACAAAACACGTTTTCTTGAGATGTTGCGTGCATATCCTTCCTTACATGTGCAACATCGTGCATCAGTTTACATCCATGTTTGCTAGCTTGCAGTCTTCTTCCTCTTTGTCTTTTTGAACACATCGCTACTCTTCACTGCCACCAACTGTTGATCTGAACAATGTGAAACCGGTGGCAGGAGTGTTAAACGCCTGTGTGCACAACACCAACGAAACAGGGATCCGCTCATTCAAACGTTGCTCCATAGCGCTACTAGTGGTGGAAAAGTTGGAGAGAAAGATAACCAGCTGATAAGTTGGTGAAACCTATAGATAATGAAAGGCAGTATAAATAGATTCTGTATTTTGGCAATATTTCCCCTATCGACAGTAACTTTTGAACAAATTTTGATATGGGGACGTGGTTGACAATGAAATCAGTGTACGCTGCCGTCGGCCACAGTGTTTTTTTTTTTTTAATGATACAACCACCAAGGGGAACCTCAGAAATCTGTCAGCAGTCTAAAATGATAAAATCTTGCACAACACCCATTTATAGTTTCAGGAAGTTTAGGGAGCTGTGGGGGTGTTCAGACACTGCAATTGAAACTTACACTCTGTGTAGTTAAAAAAAAAAAAAAGGATTCAGTATTTCTCTACCAAAGTTTTATTCAGAGTGGAAACATTTAGACCTTCGTGTGAAGAAATGGAATTGACAGGAAGCATAACTTAACAAGTAAAATAAATAAACACGAAAAATCCAAATAATCAGACCATTTTACACACTTTTGGCATTTGGTCAACCTTTTTCTAAGAGGGGTAGGTTTCACATGGGATTCGCAACCTCAGTATTTTTGCTAAAATCCTGGCTACGCCCCTGTTGGTGTTTAGTATCAAAACATGTTTAATTTCACTCATTAGGGATGCTATACTGGTCACCAATGGGCCAAACGTATTAAAAGGGTTGGTATACTCCTTTAAAAAATCAGTGGTAAAACATTTCAGTAGTTAGCTGCTTAATTTTAGCATCCAGTGGAGCAAGAGCAGGATGAACACATTTCTTAATGTCACATTTGGTGCCAATGTATATCTATTGCGCTTCTGCAGGTGGATATTCACTGTAGTATTAACACCTTCCTGCCATCTTCCACGTTTTCCATAATCTGTATAACTTGAAAGCTTTGTTCCTCGCACCAATAGGTGCTCTGTATTGTTGACTGACAGGTCAAAAAGACACCAAACATTTAGAAGGAAGAATTTCATGTAGATTGTAAATGATATGACTGGAAAGATGTGAATCTTCTAGGTTTCAACCACGTAGCTTTTCTTTCCTTTGTTTATTTTATGTTACAGTTTCACTGATTGTCCTGGGCATGAAGATGCAGTAATGTGACTATGCACTGAAACCCTGCCTCATTCTGAACACAGACATTAAGGTCAAAGCTGGTGTGTTTGACCTGACTCAGTCTTATTAACCTTGGGGAACACTCACCACATGGGAAAAATGAAGGCTTCACTTATTTGTGCTTTTACGTATGTGCATTCATTCCGTTAAATGATCTCAGTTGAAATATAATGTTCATGTCTTTTTTCTGAAATTGAGAACAACATAGTTTCCCCTGTCAAACCGCCTCAGCTTTCAAGATTGTGTTGTTACGGTTTGGGATCCTAGTAATGACAGCCTTCACACACAATGTTTGTGCACTGTTTTGTAAGTGGATGGTTGTAGATGTTTGCCTGCTATCGATGTATATTCACTATCAACCATATTTTAGACATTCCATGTCTCTCTCTCTGAGCTCCTGCTTTGCTTTTGGACCAATTCCCCTTGGCCAAAAAAAAGAAGAAAATAGGGAATAAAATGCTGTTGTCTTCCAAGAAGATTGTGAAAAGTGATTTATGGGTGAAAAAAAATAAAACAGAGTTGAATCTAACTGTCTGGGTATTTTTTGAATTTGTCTGTGGGACCTACCTAAAAATTTTATTTGAAAAAAGTTTGCTTAAATAGAGTGTACAGAAACTTTGATTTTCTATTCATAGTCCTCATTTGGATGAGGAATCTTACAGGATAGTGTGGGGGCATTCGCTCATCCACAAGAGGATCTGTTATAATTTGCAAGTCAGTGGAATATTCTGATTGCCAGCCTGGTCACACGTAGTACTGACGCTGCTCTGGATCTGCAGTGTCAGCACATTCAAAGCAATATTGCATACTGAACCCTTGTCTATTGGCATTATTATCAATATGTTCTGTATAATGATATAATATGACATTACATTTGTACACACACACACACACACACACACCAAGTTTGTTACCCTTAAATTTAAAGTTTCAAGTAGTTTAATTATGATTGACAAATATGAGGTAATTAATAATGGGGTATGTACATAGTAATACACAATATACAGTACAGTGCACAGTTTATATAGTGAATGAGGGTTGGCTCAGTTGCACTACCCCATTTGTTCTTTAGGCGGAGCTGATGTACTATTAGACTTCCACCTTTGCAGAAGAAGAAGAACAGGAAGAAGCCGACGATAGTCAAGTTAACGGGCTGACTCAAGAAACAAGGATTCGGGCTTCAAAATTGAAGTTAAAAAAAAAAATCGTGTCACGTTTAACACAAAAGTTGCAAATAATAAACATCTTGTGTGGTTACTCTGTAGTATACACATAACTGGATGGAATTATATCGTTGTATCCTCTCCTGGGTACCTGCAATGTTGGCAAAAACTTTTTTTGAGCTAACTAATACTTGATATTTAGAATAGGTTTTCTCACAGCAGGGCCTTATCCAAAATAGGGTTGATGTGGTCTCTAGGAAAACTATTTGTAACATGAATATGATGGTGACTTAGGTAGAGACATTCATTGTTGAGTTCACCAAACTATAGCAGTTAAATTAGCGCCGAACGTTTTATTTTGAAATCGCTCACCGGAAGTTTTGCTGTTGATTGAGTGTTTCAAAACACTGGTCCAAAGAAGGAAGCTGTGAAACTTGACAGGTTAATGCTAAGGTAATGTGAGTAAACGTTATATATTAAATGCATCGCTGTGACAGACTACCAGCGTACTGAGCTGATATGTGCACATATGACCCGTTTATTATGTCAGTCAGCGTTGTTACTGTGTGACCGTCACGAGCAGCCAATTCAAAGGAGCTAAAGCTAAGCTAAGCCAGCTAGCACAAGTGTTTGGAGACGACAGTGATAGCTCAATGTAATCTGTTTCCACTCATAGAAAAGTAGCGAAATGAAAGCTAATGGCGTGAGAGCTTGTGTTATGTTACATACCTCGAGTTCGTCGCCTGTGTCCCCTGTAATAAACCTGTCAGCTGCCACTTTTAGCTGCCTTTGCTCGCTGTTTATGTCCGCAAACACAGCAGCAGGTGTTACTTTGCTGTTCGTCAGAGGTAACGTTGCTTTTAATGCTAATTAGAAACGTCTGTTTTTCACTGTTCAGGAGTCGCCGGGGTCCAGTTGTCCTTCCTGTGTACACCAGAGAATCCAAGCTGCACGTTTTCATTCAAATGTGAGGAGCTGTCAGAGTACACGTAGCACTGAACACAGCTAATGTTTGTTAGTGTTTGTTAACAGACAGTGTTCATGGCACAGCCTATTCACACAAATATAGGACGGTACATTTGAACTAATATCTTCTTTCCCC